AATATATGAAATATAAGAATATATTCAACATGTAAACATAAATGCTCATTTTTCATGTATCGTTTACACTGTAGAATTAAAGTTTTCATATTGATGGATATCCGCAAATATAAAGTCAAACCTTAAACTGCTCCCAACCACTTGCAACTGCATCACATTCCCTGTGACCGGTGTTACTCTGCTCGGCATTTATAAAAACCAAAGCCTGAACAACAGAAGACATGAGGCTGAATGATTAACTTAACTTCAAGAGGAAAATTGGTGAAGTGCTTGAAAAACATTGATTATATATTATCATTCTGCTTCCGTGAACAGAGACGACAGCCTCTAATTCTTACTTCAGCGTCCATCAAGTCAGTGTTTGTTAGTCAGGCTTAGTTTTTGACATTCTCCTTTGTGTGTGTGTGTGTGTGTGTGTGTGTGTGTTCCTCTGTGAGCGCACTGTATTTTTCAAGGATGCACACCTGAAAATCATCGCTTCTCATCCGAATCAGAACTTCTCACTGTGGCCTGTGAAGTGAAAAATGTCCTGCCCAACACACACCCCTCCTGAATAACCAATGTGTTTAGCATTTTCCTTTCACTTGACGGCTGTGTCAAAAAACGGGAAAAGTGCTCCTCTGCTCTTTCACAAACTCATGAACTAGTAAGAAAGTCGAGGGATTCGTGTTCGCGTCGGGCCGTGTGCTGCGGAATATTTTTGAATAATCCCGTGCTGGTGGGAAAGCTCTCTGTGTGGTAAAGCATGACAGCAACACTAGCAGGGTTAGCGGTTTGATTCCCTCTGGGGTCGAGCGTGACAAAACTATCCGCGCACACACGGCAAACGAAGAGGTGATAAAAGCGGCCGCAAAAAACTATGTGCAGTGAATGTTGAAACAGAAGTGATACATACGAAACGGCTCTTGATTTGAACAGCGATTTATAAATGAATGTATAATGCAGCTGCAGCCCTCGTTCAAGGTAAAATATCGGCCTTATTAGTCCTGTCAAACATGCAGCTGCTACACGGTCCATTCATCTACCCTTCAGTGGAGAGGGGAACAAAAAAAACTCACAAGAGAGGAGGAAAGTGGTTTGAAAGACGAAAAGTGCATAAGGAGTAAAAACACTAAAAGGGCGACGTGGTTGAGCAGTGGTGTTTCTGAGAAGTATGAGTAATGTGTAAAGGGAAAAAAAGACGCCTAATTGGGGGTTTTGTGGTGTGAGAGTGAAGAACGGTAAGAAGGTGTGAATGAATGATGGGAAATGAGACGAAGAATGGGCTTTTGGGAAAAGAAAGACGTTAATGAAAACTATTGTAAATGTCAAATTGCCTTTTAGGACCGGAGAGAAAGAGCCCGTTTCAAAATCTAAGCCGAGCGTTAATGATGGAAGGTGAATGGAGGAGAAGAGGACGTTTAAGATCAGTGTTTCTTCACATTAACAGCAGTTAAACGTCAGGAGAGGCAGACGAACAAAGAGGTCAACAGAGCAGAATTGCCTCATATTGCTTTACCAACCTCCAGACACACGGCGCCCATTCATCCTCCACTGTTCTGATGGTTTTGGGTGGAACACGCCCTCGTGATGAAGTGGTTCCAGGAGCAGAGGGGAAAGAACCGGCAGCTCTAGAAACACAGGAACACGTGACGTTAGATCAACTCACCCAGAACCACATGGAGACATGATTTAATCATGATGTAAGACTTTCTACATGAAATGCGTTTGAATTTTCTTGTAAAAAATACGCAAAATAAGTTTAAAGCCCAACAGAGGTAACATTAAATTAACATAATTAATAACCACTAAACATATTTAAGAGTTTTCAAAGCCTCAAAAAAAGACACTTAAGATACCACGATCGGCTCCAACATACTTTTGGATGTAAGCTCGGACCGATTTATTTATTTGATCATCACCACATTCTGTTATTCCTTCAATGTTAGTCGTGTTGACAAACTTTTTTCAACCTTAACTAACAAGTTTTAGTTGATTAGGCTTAATGAACTCTAAAGTAGAGCACATACCTCCACCAAGGCCACAGAACCCTTAAGAAGACAAATTTTTAGATCCACTAGATCCAGATTCGTACGTGTATGTACAGAAAATCACACAAACTCTCCTAAACATGTCTGATTTCCTCAACAAAACCAAACGATTCCCTGTGAAACTGAAAATGTGAATAAAAAGTGACCTTTTTGAAGAAAAAGCAAAAACTGCTGGAGCAGCACCCACATTAAAAAAAACAACAACACAAGGGCTAAAACATTACCGCCCTGGCTATGTTGAGAAATCGCACACTCATAGATTTCTGAAAAAAACAAAACGCTCCACTATGTAAGAAGTTCTTCACCGACCATCACCGCATCCTTCAAGCAACTTTTCATCATCATCATTTATTTATTTAAAGCCTCAGGAGACACATTGAGGTGGAACCCTCATAATTAATGGTGCCGAGGTGTGAAATAATGCATGGTTATGCCAATTAAAACAGGTTAAAAAAAAAAAATTAAAAGCAACAATGATAAAAAGTAAAAGTGTATGAATAAGAAAAAAAAAAAGAATAAATACCAAAATAAAACCAGCAAACAAACACGTATGAAAGCAGAACCTCCTCTGCAGAGGTGACAATGATTATTATCAGTTTGTTCTTTTCTCCTTTAATCTGAACGACCTCGGGGTCACATGGAGCTCACAACTGAAAAGCCTCCTGTCGTTTCTGAGACTCTGACATAGAGAAAGACTGAGCAGAAGCTGAGGGAGTGTGAACGCTACATGCTGTGAGACTGATGGCATGCTGCAATACCAGGAGCCATAAAAGACTGCAAATACAAATGCACAGCCCAGTTTGTGTGTGTGAACATCCATTCATAAGATTTAGTTCATGTGTTTTGCTGCTTGCATACCCGCTGCATTGAGCTATTTGTGTCTATTCACGTGTCTTGTGCGTGGGCATCCATTTATAATCTCTGCTATTATGTTTCTCTACGTCTGTTTATTGTTTTGAGCCTGTTACACTATGCACACTGTTACCGCACTTGCTCTCCATTATTCCCATAAAGCCGGCCCTTAAATCATTCAGCAAGCCTATTCAATTTCAAAAGTGAGAACCATTGAGGTAATTTAGGGACTCGCGCATCGACCCTGGGAGGATTTCTACATCCCACTTCTTCCTGTGCGCCACGATCTGATCTGATCAACGAGAGACTCTCTGCTCCTGTTTGTTGACATCACATATTTACATTTACAGTAAAGAATATAAAAGGAAATCTAACGTTGTTTCTGTCACAACATGCCTGACACTGTGCCTCATGTGGATACAAAGCAGATGAAAATACTATGAAACCTTTTAAATAATCGGTAAAACATCTTCATTCCGACCTAATGTTGTACACGTCCTACATGGATGAACCAGATAAGTCTACAGAGAATATTTCACTCAGTTCCACCCTCGTCTGTGCAGTGAGATGTGAATGCTGACACCACAGTGAACTGTACTGTCGTCACGTCATGAAGATGGCAAGTTCATAACCTGTCAAACAGCATTTTGAAAAATGTGAAAACTATCACACAACAGCTCTGTTTCTTCTTTCACTCTGCAGACATCACATCCTAATTTCTGTCACGACACAGTCAGTGACAGTCGTGTGTGTGTGTGTGAACATGTTTTGTGTGTTTTGCACCTACTTCCTGTGGACATGTGCTTTGAAACAACCAGCCTGAGCTTCTGTCGCCGCCTCCATCCACCAAAACATCGTCCCCGGTGGCATCTGCTCGACTCACAGCTCCTCTGCGAAATCTCCTCCGCAGCATATTGTGGTTCACACAAAATCGGCTGAACTGTGGTCTGTGATAAAACATGGAGGAAAACATTGTTGTCCATTAAATATTCAACAACGCCAGTCGTCTCTACAGCCAGTTTGGCAGATTTCTGAAATGAGCAGAGTTGACTGGCAAAGAAGCGACTGTGGAGTCACCAAACAATTGCGGAGGTGTAAATTATCACACTTTCAGACTTGTAACGTCGTTATAATCCTGGAAAACAGACTTTAGGAAACAAAATTTGCACAAATTTGGTTTGATGTTTGCAAGCCAAAGCTCTCGTTTGTACAAGCAAATAACAATTATCATTTACTTTTCTGCCAGTGAAACCTGTGACCTACAAGTCACACGTCCTCTCTGCTTAATTTGAGGTTTTTATC